CTGACGCAGGGCTTGATCTCAGGACCCTGAGATCATGACCTGACCTGAAATCAAGAGTCAGACACTTAATGGACTGAGCCACCCAGGCACGCTAGCCTCAGTTTAATAATAGTTACATACTTCCTAAAAGTGCTCCGAAGCGAATAAGGGCAAAATGATCTTAAGATTCTCTGTAGAAGTCCAAAAATTCCAAAATACGTATTTGCCAAAAATCTCTTTGGCTTGGGTAGTGCTTATTTTGTTCCTTTTGATTAAGTCATTTATTTTAAACCATAGTGAAAGCAGATTAATTTTTATACTCCTTACTCCAAGTATTTTCCTTGGACACGTTCAGCTTTTTATGTATTCTTTAGGTGCTTTCGGTTATCACCACATGTTGGCTAGGGTACTGAGAGCAAAGCTTTCATTGCCCTCTTTGTTCTCCTCTGTAAATACCTCTCTTCCTACCAATATGTTCCTGCTGCCAGGATGCACACAGCTGAATGTGAAGAAATTGAATTTTTTTAGAGAAACCTCCTTTTAGTAGAAGATCTTGCTCTTATTTCATAGAGAAAAGACACCATTGCATGAAGACTCTCAGCCTTCCATCATCTAATCTAAAGAGTCTTCTGCATTCCTGTCCACCATTTTACCCTTCTCTCATAATCCTGCCTCATGTCTAAGGTGAATCCTTCCATATATTCTCTGGATCCTGTCCCCCTTTGCCCTCTCAGGTCTCAGCTCCTGTATTTTCAGCCTCTTCCTCTTCACTGAATCCTTTTTCAGTATTTTTTTTTTAATTTTTAAAAAGAATTATTTTACAGCAGTTTTATGATTATAGCAAAACTGAGGGGAAAATACAGACCTTTCTCATAAACCCCCCACCCCGACCCCACACATACAGAATCTCCCCCATTATCAACATTGCTCTCCAGAATGGGACTTTTTTTTTTTTTTTTTTTTAACCGATGACAAACATACATTGACACATATCACTCAAAGTCCATGGTTTACCTTAAGGTTCACTCTTGGTGTTACACGTTCTGTGGGTTTGGGAAAACAGACGCACACACACACACACACACACACAGTGACCTGTATCCATCATTATGCTGTCATACAGAGTAGTTTCACTGTCTTAAAAATCTTTTGTACTCTACCTGGTCATTGCTCTCCCTACACCCCTGGTAACCCCTGATCTTTTTACTGTCTCCATAGTTTTTGCCTTTTTTCACAATGTCCTATTGTTGGAAACATACAGTATGTAGCCTTTTCAGATTAGCTTTTTTTATGTAGTGATAGATACTTAAGGCTCCTTCATGTCTTCTCATGGCTTGCTGGCTCATTTCTTTTCAGGGCCGACTAATAGTCCATTGTCTGGAAGTACCAGTTTGTTTATCCACTCACCTACTGAAATACATCTTCGGGTCTTCCAAGATGTGGCAATTATGAACAAAGTTTCTATAAACATCCTTATGCCGGTTTTTGTGTTGGTATAAGTTCCTTTATTTAGGGTAAATACCAAAGAGCACGGTTGCTGGATCCTGTGGTAAGATTATGTTTAGTTTTGTAAGAAACTGCCAAACTGCTTTCCAAAGGGGCTCTGCTATTTTGCTTTCCCACCACCTGTGACTGAGAGTTCCTGTTGCTGCACAGCCTCATTTGTGGTGTTAGTGTTGTGGGTTTGGGCCATTCTAATAGGTGGGTAGTGGTAGCTCATTGTTTCAGTTTGCGTTTTTCTGGTGACCTATCATGAGAAGCACCTTTTCATGTGCTTGTCATGTGTATGTCTTCTTAGGGAGGTGATTGTTAATGTCTGGCTCATTTTATTTTTTAATTTAAATTCAATTAGTCCACATAGTACATCGTTAGTTTCATTGTAGCATTCAACAGTTCATCAGTTGCGTATAACACCCAGTGCTCATCACATCATGTGCCCTCTTTAGTGCCTATCACCCGGTTACCCCATCCCCCCACCTACCTCCCCTTCCACAGCCCTCAGTTTGTTGCCCATGATTAAGAGTCTCTCATGGTTTGTCTCCCTCTGATTTCTTCCCATTCCATTTTCCCTCCCTTCCCTTATGATCTTTGGCACCGTTTCTTATATTCCACATATGAGTGAAATCATATGATAATTGTCTTTCTCTGATTGACTTACATCTTTGGCTCATTTTAAAATCACTTTGGTTGTTTTCTTATTGTTGAGTTTCCAGTGACTAAACACAGTTAGATCTCTCACATGGTCAACCACCACAGCAACAGAAGCAGCAGGAACAACAACAAACCCCAAACCCTTGGTCTCCTCTCTTAACCCTACATCTCCCTCTGCCTTATCTTTGCTTTGTCTTTCACAGTGTAGAAGCCAAGGGCAGGCTGCCCCAAGCTGGGTGGCTTTGGCATGGAGATTATTCTGAGCTGAAGGCACTTGAGACCCTATGGGCTCGAGGGAAACTTTTGCCCTTCCCTTAACAGCAGAGAAGAATCTAACTTGGGAGTCTTTCCCGGAGTGAGGGTTATTAGCAGAGATAAATTTTATTTGAATGGCCCATGTGTATGGCACGACAAACATCTAATTACCAAACACCTGCTCTTCTTACTGCCCCGTGAAGTGCATTCCTTTCCTCCAAAGTCCCAGACCCCCTGCCCCTTTGTCTTTAGTTCAGAATGATGTGTGTACCTCATCTTGCCTGTCTTTGGAATGTCCACATCTATGGGGATTCCCCTTACATACTCTCTTAAATTTGTTTTTCTCCTATTAACCTGTCTTATGTCAATTTGATTCTTAGTCCAGCTAGAAGGACCCTCGCAGGGGACAGGGGTTCTTGCTCTCTGATAGCAGACAGACTCCTTGACCGGGTTGTCCAGACTTGCTGTCTCCACTTCCCATGCCTCCATCATCGCATGTAGGTGAGGCTTTTGTCCCCAGCCCTCTTTCTCTTCCAGCATTCCCAGTCTTAGAAAACGGCAGTAGCGTTCACCTAGTTGCCCATGCCCGAAGCCTGGGAAGTAATCTGATTTGCCGTCCTTTGCTCACCTCCCCACACAAAGTTAATCACCTGCTTCCATTGATTTGGTCACTCAGTCTCTCTCAAATTAATTTACCCACTTTTTCCCACCCTGATTGCCCCCTCTTTAGTTAACTTGGGAAGATACTGTTTCAGCTTTTAGGTGAAGGTCATGGGCAGGCTGATGGGTGTTGCCACGTGATGAGGTCATAAAGACTTAAGGGTGCTGGTGCCTGAACAGGCAGAAATTCTAGTCACTGGAGATTTCCTTGTCATTTTAACATCCTCCTTGCGTGGGCTTTCTGTTTGAAATTGTGACTTCTACATCTCTCAGCTGGTTCCCTTTTACTTCCCTGGCATTTGCCTCTCATGTATGAGGCACACTTCTGTTGATCTTGGAAGTTCTGAGCTCACAACTGTCATTTAGCTCTGTGGTTGCGTCTTGGCTCTGATCCTCCCTAGCTGCAAGAGCTGGAACAGATCATGGACTCTCTCGACTCTTAGTTTCTTTAGCTGTAAAATAAGTGCCCCCCCACCCCCACGGGTGCGGTTCCACCCTGGCTGCGCATTAGGCTCACCGGGGGGGCTTTTGGAACTCCCAGCCCGGGCTGCACCCTGGAGTGGTGATGTTAGCGTCCTGACTTGCCGCCCTCAGGATTGTTGAAAGCTCCCCTCAGAGATCTCAGTGTGTCGACAGGCTTGAGAACCACTGACTTTATGATTTTAAAGAAGCACAACTCTTCTGTCAATGTGTGTTGTCAGTCATGCCCCAATCCCAAGTTGAGATTTTCCTTAATGTTTTTACTAAGTTGGGAGAAAATAGCTGTGAAGTTCCCCCCACCCCCTTCCATCTGCTGTTTGTTCTTATTTACATACGATGGAACCCAGCCCACTGATTTACAGTTCTGGTTCCCTTACAACTGTTATTGAACTGAAAACATAGCTGAAAACTTATTAAACAGAAAAAAATTATTTTGAGCTTTGTGCCGACAATTCATTATAGAACCAAGGAAACCTCAAAACTTTCCTTCGAGAATTAATGCTAAAAATGGATTTACAAGCCCCTAATCTTAAGTGAAAATTTTAATTCTGGTGCCAAACCTAGTATTTATTCTTTCTTGAGTGTCCTATCAAGAAAATCAAAGCATTTCTGTGAGAGAATGGGATTTTGGGGGGTTTGTACCCATAAACAGGCAAGACCTCCCCAGACTACTCTGCGTGGGCCTCTGAAGGCCAGTGTTAGCATCTCTTTTTCCCTAGCACAGGAAGGAAAGCCAGGGCAAACATACCATCAGTGTGGGTGTGTGGTCTCACTGTTGAAACACTCTGGAACAGGTCTTTCAGGAGACAGCTTTTCGGGAGCAGCCCCCTTCAGACCTACCATTTTAGGTTTGAAATAACCTAAGACTTTTTTAAGGTGCAAGGGAGTAGAGAGGAGAGCAGAATTACAGAGAACAGCCAAGCGTTTGGTGTGACCACTGGCACTAAATTTGTGGAAAACTAGGGTCCTGACAGAAGTCTGATTTATACTGAGAAAGAGTCCCTTGGGGTGCTGGCTCTCCCTTGCCTCTTTCCCTGTTAACAGTATCTCCTTCAACTGTTCAGTCACTTGCTTCTGTAATTCCGCCTGAAACACACAGCCCATGCCTTTGCATATCTCTCTCAAATCCTTATTAACTATTGAAACTAGTTGCTACCTTGATAAGGATGGCTTAATTTAGTAGGTATAGAAAGGTCAGTTATTAGGTTGTCATAACCTATGGTGAATTCCTTTCCCCATATAACCCTTTTACAACTGGACCATCAGATTGTTCTCTGCAAAGGAATGATTAGTTATCTTCTAGTGGTGGGGAAGAAAAGCATTTTCCTGGGGAAAGAAATGTTGCCAGAGCTTGGAGTCAAGCTGAAAGGAACCTGTTTACTACCGTGTATGGCACTGAACTATTTCTCGTGGCCCAGAAAACCTTGTCTGGAGCTTCTTGGTTTTGACCTGTCTCTCTTGGTATTTCCTTGTAGATGGAGGAATTGATTGAGGGTATTCGCTGGGCCTTTATTGACATGCTGGAGAAAGAAAATGAGTGGATGGACGCAGGGACAAAAAGGAAAGCCAAAGAAAAGGTAAGAATTCCTTTTGATTAAAAAAAAAAAAGAAAAAGTATATGACTTTTGGTGTAATGGATTTTCACACTCAGTATTGTGTACTTGATTTTTATATTGACTGAGCTCTTGACTTCGAATGACCCCAGAGTCAGGTGTCTGTTTTGGGATGAATATATAGATTTCATCACTAGCAGGTAAGAAAAAATAAGATGCGACTTTTTTCTTTCTCGAACTGCATTTCAAACACCTTGTAATTCAGCCTTTCCTTCTCCCTTAATTGCGATTTCTAAGAGCCACGTGGCCCACAGCCCAGTGAATTTTGCCACAAACCATCACTGGCTGTGGCAGAATGCAGAGCAGTGGGGGGCCATGTGTGTCCTTCTGCTCTGTGCACGATGTGTGCAGATGTCCTCGGGAAAATCCTTGTCTGCAACCAAGCAGGTCTACTTTCCTAACCCATCATGTTGCTCTCATGATCCAAATAGCATGCTTATGAACTACAGACCAGTGGTAGACCACAGCGTAGGAATGCAAAAATGTTTCCTAATAGAAGCGGACGCTTGGTGGGCCTTGTACAAAATTTTCCGGTACTGTGTAACAAGCTGAAGGAGTAAGAGAGACAAGTATTGGCTGCCATGCTGCTTAAACAATGAAGAACCAGCTGTATCTGGAATTCTAGGGATTCAGATGGAGCTGGAGCTCAAGTGGGTAGGAAATACCTCCTGCACGCTGAGTGGATGCTGCCCTGTATCTGGGAGACTCTGAACTAGGAGCATTTCTTCTTTAGAGAGGTATTTTATTTTATTTAATTAATTAATTTATTTTTTAAAGATTGTATTTATTTATTTGAGAGAGAGAATGAGGCAGAGAGCATGAGAGGGGGGAGGGTCAGAGAGAGAGGCAGACTCCCTGCTGAGCAGGGAGCCCGACGTGGGACTCGATCCTGGGACTCGATCCCGGGACTCCAGGATCATGACCTGAGCCGAAGGCAGTCGCTTAACCAACTGAGCCACCCAGGGGCCCTAGAGAGGTATTTTAAAAACTTGCTGATGATAGTAATCCCCTGGGATGCCTAAATGCCCCATAGCTCTCTGGGCCCCTCCCCAGCAAGGTCTGATTTAGTGGATGGAGGGTGCAGTTTGAACGTTTGTGACTTTAGCCAGTTTCCCTGGTGATTTTTATTGCTCGGTGGTCCTGGGGAACACTGCTTAGAGTCCTACAGGGTCATGCTGACTGAGTACAGATCTTTTTGCCCTATGGTCAAGAAACGGAGAGGGTAGGGCAGTGAAACTACCCTCTATGATACCATAATGGTGGATACATGTTGTCGTCCGTTTGTCCAGACCCATAGAATGTGCAGCACCAAGAGTGAACCCTAATATAAACTATGAATTCTGGGTGGTAATGATGTATCAATGCGGGTTCATTGATTGTAACAAATGTATACCACTCTGGTGGGGGAGTTTCTTAATGGGGACGCTATGCCTTGTGTGTGGTCAGGGGTTTTATGGGAAATCTCTGTGTTTTCTTTTTAACTTTGCTGTGAACCTATGACTGCTCGAAAAAAATAGTCTATTAAGCAAAACAAAACAAAACAAAACAAAAAACCAAAGAGGGCAACATTCTGGGAATGCTTAGCCTTACTGAAATGAGAATGTGCAGAGGTTTAGCAAGGATGTTTTCTAGAGCTTTAATACTCCTGAGATGGATAAACATGGCCATAGATATTTTTGTCTATAGACACGAAAAGGCTGTTCACTGTTTGCAGTGAAGAAAGAACTTGGGTGGCAGGTGTTGTAAGAAGACAAAGGGTAAGTTGGATTTTTTTCCCCTCGAGAATCTGTCAAAGCCTTCTTAAGTCATGTAAGGCACAAGCTGATGGGGGCAGGAGCACGCGGGCTGTGATGAGAAGCTCTCCAGATGGTAGACGAAACTTTTGGCACCAACATATTGTTGTTTTTGAAGGCTTCATTTATTTGCTGGGCTAGCTTCTGATATCTGGAATAGAATTTGTCTTGCGCTGGGCAGTTGAGAGTTCAGAGCACTGGGGGACTCTTGATCCTAGGCTGACCCCTTGTGGCCTGAGGGTCATCCGTGTGGAGGGTGGGGTGGAGTGATGAGGTCTGTGTGCATGTGATGAATGGATAGATACCAGCAGAATGTTCTGGGGACTGCAAACCGTTTTTTTGGGAAGTATGACTGGTTGCCTCAGGGGGAGATCTGAGTTGCATAAAGGAGTGGGTACCTTGCAGTTGGGTCTTCTAGGCAAGTGGCCCATGGGTCCTTCCTGAAGGCACATTATTCTCAGTTCTTCTAATATTAGACATGTTCCTGTTTGACCCTTGAATTGCTCTCCAGTCTCATATTTTATTTCAATGAGAGCTGTCACTTTTTCTTCTAAAAGTACTCTTTGAACACTCCGCTTTCTTTGAGCTGAGTTCAACCTGCCAGGAACTCAACTAGTTCCTTGACAGGTACAAATATCAAAGGGAATTTTCCTCCTGGATCTCATCAGGCTCCCTGAGTATATCTTGTATTTCAGAGTTCAGGGAGATTCTGTTAATAAAAGGCAAGAAAGAGGGGATGTTGTCTGAGAATTTTCACCAGTTTCCCAAAGCATGTCAGGCCCTGGACCTCAGAAGATGCAGATTTTCTTTTTCTAAATTAAACCAACATGCAGTTCTGGAAATGACCTCTGGGTGGAGCTCGTAGACTCACAAAGACACCATTCAGGAAGCTGAAGGCATCTATGCGGCTTTCTGTTCTGGGGTTGTTTTTGAAAAATTATTTCTTTTCTTGCCCTTTTTCTCTGCTGTCCTCAATTTGATTGCCTTTTAATAGTTAACAAGAAAGGAGAAGTTCTGCCTACTAATTCCTTGAGTCTTAGATGGAAATCTCAGAAGATCTTAGGGCTTTGTCTTTCTGATACTGAGTAGCTTCTGCATTAAGACAGGATTTGCCTGTGTTCGAAGTGGAGGTGAACGATTTGCCTGCTCTTCCTGGTATGACTTGGCACTGTTTTTGGGCATGTGTTGTATGCAGTGTATCACCCAGGCAGAAGATTTCTCTCATCAATAATAGTGCCCACACTGAGCCAATGCTGAGTCACTTGGCAACCCATTGGGGAAGCTGGAAAAATGTTCTGATTTGCGAGTGGGAGAAGCTTTTCTTTGCCTCACCATGGAGCTCTGGACTGCAACAAATGACAGTACCTCCTGTATTGGGTGTTGACCTTATATTTATAAGTGTTCCCTTGTGTCGGCCTCATGAATGTGGAGGGCCCAGATACCTGCAGTGGCTTGAGGCCTAACAGCTTGAGTTGGGTGGCAGTGACCCCGGTTTCAAGATGGAACCATGGGATGTGACTTTGTCGTGTTCTTCACTACGGGTGATCACCATAAAAGATCAACGAGGATGCCTCTGCTCCTGGGAAGGGTAAATTTTGTATCTCAGTCTCCCAGCCTTGCTCCTCTCATCTCTTAAGGGGTCATGAGTGGTTTAGTTTGTGAAACTGACAGTGTAGGTTTCAACTGGAAATTTAGTATCATGAAATAAGCACCAGTTTTTGTTTAGGATTCTGTTTCCTGCGAGCCTATGCTTTTACTGTAAACTAGCAGCAGAGGACAGGAAGCCTGTTATTTTTTCGGTTATCACAGACGTGGGATGAGTGTAAGGTGATAGAAATTAGTTTGGGGGGGTGTCTTCTGCCTTTTCCAGAACAGAGTAGGAGGATCTCAAGGTCACTATGTAGTGATTCTGAGGCCTGCCAGAAAGGGATGCAACACTGCCTTTGGCTGCCCTAGTGGCAGGAGCAGGGAGTCTGCTGGAGAGCTGTGTCAGATCAGGAGGAGCAGCTTCCTGAATTCGGCTGGTCCCCAGCTAAATTCAGTTCTGTATCCAAAAGCTGGATCCTTTCTGAAATATTTGTTTGTGCTCTTTACTTCTGGGACTAATGTTTGCCTAGCCACCCCTAGAGAGAAAGGCCTGGATGGAACTGCTAGGAAGGCAGCATCCTCAGGATCCTGTGAGTGGCCTTAACCTTGACCACAGCAGGTACAGAGGTTCCGGGAAGTGTACTACATGGTCCCATCACCACAGGCATGCAACTCCAAGACATAGGCTTTCAGCAAGATGGGAAGAGTTTTCTTGCAGAGGGCCAAACAAAAGTCTATTTCACCTCTCTGGCTTTGTCTCCACTTGGGAGGAAAAATAATCATTCCTTCTACCCCTCTAAGTACTTGACTGAGCCCCGTGTGACAAAAGATAGGTTAACAAGAGAAAATCAACCAGAAGTTTATTAATATGTATATCTCATACATACATGAGAGAAATTCAGAAAAAAGAGTAATTCAAAGAGGTGGCTTAAAACCTCGGCTTATATAGCATCTTTAAAAAAGAACAAAAAATTTGCAGATAAATGACAAAGGAAAGTGGTTTTGGACTTCGAAGAGCAGCAGATTGTGGGAAACTAACGGTAGACACAGGCTAGTTAGTGAAGTCTGTTATGTAGATGACTGGTGCTATCTCTAGGTTGATAGGGTTTAAAGTTGTCTTTGGTGATTCACCTTTGTCCTTCCTGGTAGAGAGGGCAGAGATGCATTAGAGATGCAAATTCCTGCGTCTCCCTAGACCTGCTGAACTCTGAGGTGGTGGTATGAGGCCCACTGCCTTGCCGTTATCATTTCCTTGCACGTCCGTCTGGCTTCCAGCTGCTGGCACCTGCACTTTGCCCAAGAGCTTTCTCTTCCCATGGGAACCTGCTATGCCACTCATACAGAGGGCCCATGAATGAACACACCCAGTAACTGATGGGAGTTGCTGTGTGTGTCCCCTCCTCCCTCAAGTATGTGTTCAACATGGGCTCCTGGAGTTTCCCCAGTGGGGTGAGCTCCACTTGCTCACATGGTCAGCTGGCTCAAGTAGATTCCCTTTACTAATAGCCTGCCTTGCTCTGCTCACTTCCTCTGTCCCTTCCTGGTGTCTGATGTTTCTTTCACTGTTCGTACTCGAGTCCTTGT